AATTCTCACTAGTTATGCATAGGATTATCATAGGATGATATATTCAAGTTTGATGATGAATACTATCAAATTTTATTTTTCAAAAGCCCTAAAATCCAGCATATATTTATATTACTCTATTTTGCACACCATGATCGGATGTCTGCATATTGCAATATTGTTTATCTCTGTCAATTTTAATCAGTTTTCCCAAACGCAGGCAAAAATTAGTTGCAAATGAAACATCAATTGCAATTTAGATCTGATTTGTAATAAAGTATGCGTACATCGTAATTATTGCTTTTCCGCTTCCTTAATAATTAAATTGACGATCATATTTCGCTAATTAAAAATTCCTATTGAACTTCGACCTCACGATAACAAATGTTTACAAATTTAATTAAGATTCCTATTCATTTAAAGACTCTACGTCGCTGAGTTTTTTATTACTCTGTGCTGGTGTCATAAAACTTGGATGTTAGAATTGCTCTTTATAAATGGCTTCTTTACTATTTCAGAAATATTCTTACTTCGACTATGAGCATAATTTAATCAAGCTTGACATTAGTTTTTAGTGCTAAGTAGTTTATGATTCATTCGTATTATTAATAATTTATAGCTCGGGAAACTTTCTAAGTAATAGCTCGTGCAATGGTGGTAATTTTTAAATATTAACATAATTATTAACTTCCGCCGCACTAGGTAATGCTTATCGATTTCAAACTAGTTTTACGGTTGTAAAGCGTTAATTTAATTAATTGATTAATAAGTACTAGCCAAATATCGGTGTTGTTAGAAGCTTAGTAACGAAAAATGAATGAACTTTTTGAACTGGTAACACCCTAAGATATATTATCGTTATGACTGATTTATTTTGCAGTTGTACGGATTGCATCACCAACATGAGTATTTCAATACCAATATTTTAAGTTTAATGATGCTTATGATATATGCAAAGGTACGATAACCTACTGTACACACATACAGATTAATGTCGAAATATCCCATTGCAGATTAGGTTTGTCGTTCTTTAGCTGCAGCGTTACATCTAGTGCATCGCAATTCGCTTTGTAAGCAACAAACATGCCCTTATATCCATTTGATTCGATCTTATCAATCGACTTCTGACTAAATCTAATGTTACAATCACTATTGGTCTCGGTAATAAAAATATTCAAAGCCACATAAAGAAAGTAATCATACGACTCATATTCTATTATAATAGAATATCTCGGTTTACTGTCGGTTCTGAGTTACTTTCTTCCAGACAATTACTACCCCAGTGACTAATTATTTTATTGTATATCAATTTATATATTCTTTAGAAATAACGCTGAGTAAGAAAATATTAAGTTATAGTTTCAATCGACTGAATAGTGGATAATGGTATTATAGTTGGGTTACTTGAAGCCGCTCTAGATAACGAAATAGTCTAAAATAATTGGAACTACTTACATTAAATTATTATTTAATTAGTTAGTTTCAAGCGGCATCAATCTACAGCTTTGCAGACCATAGATTAGCTCTTTGAAAGCACCTATTTCGACATGGAAGAAAACGAATAGTACGGTAATAACAGTACTTAACTACTAGTTCAATATTAGACTTTATAGCGATTTTAATTTCATGAAAAGATCGATGCATTAAATTTAACCATTGGACTAATACTAAATTGTACTACAATAAGAGGCTCCATTAGCTGATATCAAGCATAATATTTAAATAAATAGTATGGTAGATAGATAAATTTTAATGATTAAGCTGATCTTTAACTCGGAATTAAGTATTGTTTCTTAAATGAATTAACAATTTGTTGGTTTCTACCTAGGCGTCATTAGCATAAATACAGTATAAAAGACATTATTACGTATTAAAATATTGTTGAATTAAAAGGGAACTATACTTGACTTAACTAGTAATCTAAGTAATTATTACGCGAATAATTTTGAATTAATAAAGAGCTGGTATTTGTTTATAAGTAGGCCTTCATTGGATCACGAAAGGACTATTATTTTACACCTGCTCACTAGCATACTGTCGCTAAATAAGATTTTAATACAATAAGAGATACTAATTACGGACAGCTTAACCCCATCGAAATTGATTCGTGGAAATAGATATCGTTAGATTTATGGATATGGTCATAAATTAATTGTTAATGAAGTTAGACATCTATTCGTTAACTACGAAATGAGTTCTATACTTGTACTGTATTAAAGAAATACCGGTAACAGATTAAATGAAATTGCTTAAACTGTAGGGTCACAGCTGTTTAAAAAACAAAATAATTGGAAGATATTTAGAATAGATGGTACTACTGTTTGAAATAATCTGTACATTTTTTCTGTATGCTTTATAATATAACACTAGACAGCCTGCTCCGGAGATTATAATTTATACCTAATTTAACTATGCCACGACCAACTTTGATAACTATCAGTAATGGTCACCTTCCATCAAAGTTACAGAATAGAAGTTGTCAAAGACATTATCTTTTATATGGTTCAATAAACAAATATTGGTAACTGAAAGTCTCAGTATAGTTAAGTTATCAATATTGTAATCAGTCAGTAGTACTCCAAATATTTCATTTTATCTCTTTAATTTTTATTCATTGCAACATTTAAAATGGATTGATCTTAATCTAAAAATTGAACGCAACATTGTTCATAATCTCGTACTATAGTAAGTTTCTGTAATAGTTTGTTAAAAATGATGTTCCTAAATTGTGATCTACTTATTAAATAGACACAGATCAATTCTATATTCTCTCCGGAAATTGAGTTAAACTTGGAACAGTACTGACAGAGCCTTAGCTATGTTGTAAATTGAAAGTCTGATAGGTCAACCATAATTAAATAAGCGAAAACATATGGTAATCGAAATAATGTCGTATACGACACCTGAATAGATTAATTATTTTTGGTAATTTAATTCTATATTTCTAACGTGGGTGAAAAAAATTTGCTGCTATTTTCGTTTTGCAGCTTGCATTTTTTCTTGTTTCGCCTTTTGACGTAATGTAGAACTTTACAATTCCTCCCATATAACAAAGAAATTGTATAATTACTAGGAATAATAGAATGAACAGGGGAAACATCTAAAATTTGGTATAATAAATAATTGTTTTAGATATTTATCATTTGCGTTTCAAGTACAATCAATACTTATATGAACTATGAATTATTTATGTGGCAAATAAAATTGAGCCTTGCGATTATTGTTCCAATTATTACTAACGATTCAATTTAGTACTGATGCCTGTAAATTAAAAATAGGTACTTGCACCGTAAAGCGTATAGATCTTTTAACTCAAGTATAGTGATCTTGATTGATAAGTAATGATATATATATAGAGCTAAAACAATATTACCCGGCATTTAGCCTGGATAGAAAAGTAGATATTATCGACTAATCACACACAGCAGATGCTAATATCTGCTAAATTGTCACAGGAATCTTTACATACGAAAGCATATATATTGATAAATGAGGCCTTGCTACATTATATCTAATCTGACTTCTTGTTGTAGTATTTAATTCTGATTTTAATGGACTATCGGTCTAGACTATCCTGAAAAGTAAATTATCTTAACAATCATAATGTCGTTTAAGCACCTGGTCCTAAGTAACGTATTCATCATGGCCAAATAGTAACAATTGTTATCGTTAGATCATCATTTATAGACAGTTAAAAATTATCAGTATTTTATTCGCGAAAGATTAATAATAGAGTGGAGATGTGTTGTTGACATCGTCTTCCCATATAAATAATATAGGAAGTAGGCTGTCAATTTACATTATCAAAGTGGGCTGCATATGATAATAATAAATGTAGTTCTCTTAATTAAGCCTCAAATTGATGATGGCATCATTATATATACATATTATCATCATAAATTAAGAAATATGGTTGTTATGTTAGCAACAGTAATAGTAGTTATGTTTAGTTTGAGTACGAATCAATAAATATGTTAAAACAATGATTTTAATCCTATCGCAACTGTCAATTAGACAATCATAAATTGAATAATTATGTTGATTTAAAAAGTTCTTCATTAATTTTTCGAATTGGATTTATCCAATATTATACAATCGTCACATTTACAAAAGAACATAATTCAGTATTCTCTTTTTCTTTTCTAAAGTTATATCTATTAAATGACCTATATAAAAGGTAGGTTTAATAAATATATCAATGAGACTGGAAATGAAGTATTTTAGGTCATGAAATTATTAAAAATCGAGAATCGGCGCTTTCTTAAATACTCATATTTATTAAATTGTTCCTTACATAGCGAATTAATCCAAGCTATTTTTTATTTATTAAATCTGCGATTAATTAAAACTCCGTATAGTGGGCAATTCTAAGTCAACGCTAAAATCTATCGTTTTTCTAAAGTTATTTCATTGACTCCATTCAAAAAGTATTTTTTTCTGAAAAAGTAACATTTCTACTCATATTACTAAAGCAGATGACATGTAAATATGTTATTGTATATGCCATTGAGTTACATTCAACGGGTTATTGGTTGATTGAACGTGATATATAATAGCCTAACCTTCTATAAATTGGTCAATCAGTTTAGTCATTACCATCATTGTTCAGAAGTACTATGGCGAGTAAGCTTGGATATAGGATATCCTTAAATCGATTGCCATAATCAAATCAACCTTAGGAAAAAAGATAGCCCGGTATCTAAGAATATTCTTTATATGTATTATATACATTTTATTTGAAAAAATCAATCATCTTAGGCATACTAAATCATTACGAAAGCTGCTAGCTTCATTGAAAAGGGTTACGTTAAATCATATACGCCCAAACGATTTGGTACGGTAGTGGCACACGCAGAATTGTTGATTACGGTGTTTTTAAACCGATACCATTTTCGCTTTGACATAACGTTCAGCTTCAGGATTTCTTCACTCAAAATTTGCATTGCTCTACCTACTAATACATAGATACAGTAACAGAAAGTCTTTTCCATCAATTCTATTGCATATTTATCCAAAGAGATATGACAGCTACTACTTTTCCCTATCATAACTTGATTACAAATACACCAAATTTTACAAATCAAACGCCTACTACACCAGCACCTAATTACGATGATGTTCCATTATTTTTGAGTATTATTTATGGCTCTATTGCTACAATGTCGATTGGAGGTAACGGCATAATAATCCTAGTGATCTTATATGATCGATCAATCATAGCTAATCCAACTAATATGCTAATTTTTACTCTAGCTATCGTTGATAGCTTAACCGGTATAGTTATGTTCTTTACACCATCTTTAATAATTGGCATACGTTATTATTCATTTCCTACTGGAATACCTGGTGGTGCCATATTTTGCCACTTGGTTGATTCGTTCTTTATTTTCTTCTCTCTTGGCAATTTATCTGTTATGCTGGTTATGCTAATTAGTATAGAACGTTGGGCAGCAGTTGTTCGAGCAACGAAGTATAGCAAATGGTTTGCTCTTCGTCGTGTTAAGATATGTATTGGTATTGTTATTATCCTCGTCATAATATTAAATTTAGATAATTTGTTAGGTAAGATTTATGTTCCTGGCGTATTTCCACCTTGCGTGTGGAGTCCAATATTTCCCAAGCCAAGTCAAAACTTAACTTTATTTACGGTCTTTGAAATAACACGATTATTTCTACCAGTCCTTTTAATTATTTTATGTTACGTCAATATTGCTAAAAAGACATTATTTTCACACAAAGTTGGAGGTTTAACCCAGGAGCAAAGTGCAAAATATATTGCTCGTCGTCGTGTAACTACAATGTGTTTCGTTTCTTCGGCGGCTTTGGTTGTCTGTTGGTTGCCCAATGAAATTTACTTCGTAATGATGAATTTTGAGATTATCGATTATTCGTTTATTGTCCATGGTGTGACTAAAACTTTAGTTATTTTTAATTCGTGTATCAATCCATTCATTTATGCTGCTACTAATCGTGCGTATCGTCGCAGCATATTCCAATTTATTACTCGTAAACATAATTATTACAAGGCCAGAACTCATCGGTTGACATCAATTGCAAATACCAGTAATCACTGATTTTCGCATTTATTGCATGTCATATTATATCCATATAATGCAATATTACGTTTCAATTTCTATAAGCTACTGCATATACTTACTGCAATTGTATATTTGCAAAAGTTGATACTGAATTAGAAAGTTAGTAAGTTTCTTAAAGAAATGGTGATTTTCAGCTCAAAAAAATTCGTGCGCGGATCGCTTAAGGGTTAATCAAAATTTCTAGAGCTATTCTTGTTTTGAAGTAGAAGATTCTCCCAAATTGATAATACTTTACAAAAGTTGGATTCAGTTTTAGCTGTTGATTGCAATGGAATAAGCTGTAATCCTCAATAGTTTTGAATTACAGCTATGATAAAATCCTTTTGGATTGATTTAAACATTTTCTAGATCTCATTTTGATACTTTTTAAATACGCGAAGAAAAAAATGGAGCTATCGTTTAGCAACTTCGACTAACGCATTAATTTATTATAAAACTGCGGTAAAATTGTCTTTAACGCAATCGTGTTGTTATTGAAATTGTATCTGCTAGTAATGTCAAGATCTCCTGATTTTATCAACGGTTTAATCTATTTTATTTCTGACCTCAGATGAAATCAGCTCATTTTAAATTAATTGCCATTATTAAAGTCGTGTTAGTTAAATTCATCTATAGCTAAAAGATTAAATTTATCACTTTATTGATTAAATGTTTTAAATATTAGAAAACGCTTGGAAAGCACAAATAGAATTAATAGCTCGATGTCCAGTATGCGCTGACCTTTATATATTATTGATCTATTGCAATATTGAAAACTTTCTAGCATAGATTGTGTTAACGGTAAATTGAAAAACAGCATTATTTTAGGTATCCACCGTACACCATACGCGTATGTATTACTACTTTTACTATCCAAGTCTATTCTATTTCTTGATATTGTCCTATATAAGCTTCTTCCGTTAACTTCATTTTTCTAATTTATTGTTGCGTTCAATTTGTAATTTTTCTCTCTTCCATTATGCTTTTAAATTCTCACAATTTTAATATTAATATTGTTTCTTGTACGCAAATACTTGTAATTTATGCTATCGTAACATACAAGTACGTAACTGTACTGAATATTAACATAATCGTTTGTTCCGATCATTATTGTTAGGTTGAGTTTCGATGTCATCAATATATCTTTTTATTGTATAACAAATCGTTACCACCTTATCGTTTGTATAGGAGCATAAAAAGGTTATATCTTTGAATGATGAGCGCATCACGCGATAGAAAAAATTCAATACTTTATAAGTAAGGTGAATTAGATCAAAATTGGTCATTTAGGTACCTTTTGCTTAAAATTAATTGATTAATGCTTCAATAAATCAAGAGGAAGGTCTTCTATTTCTGTCACTCGTATCTAATAGCTTAGCATATATCCCTGATTCACTGTATTTATAATATATATATATATATAATCAAATGCTAATCATGTTATAGGGCAATAATTACAAAGATAGCAATAAAATAATGAAATATACACTATTATATTTAGTGGGTTTATTTGTCACCATAGCACAGGCGTATGCTGTAATTGGCCATTCGCGAAAATTTTCTGATTATCGAATGCACTTATTAATGAATTTTTTGTCAATAAACTGGTGTTCCATCTTAGAATAAAATGACTACAATGTAGATGTAGACAACCATTTGATCATTCTTATTTGCAACATCACAAATGGTTTTAATTAAGAAACATGACGTTAATAGTTGCTTAATTTCCAAGAAGTAAAATATTAATTTAAGTGAATCAGAATACATAGTTGCAACAGTTTACACTTAGGATATATATATATGCATGAGTTATGTATACTTGTTAAGTTGTGGTCAAAAATCTGATTTTGACCCTATCATTTTGGTATACTTTCATTTTAGATGTACCTGTATAACCTAGAGGTGGACAGCACGAAGTACCCGGATATTTATTTGAGATTTGAAAATTAACATTACTCAATTGAAACGTGAATTAGCCATACACTAACTTTTAAACATTTTTAGATTCTTTACATCGGCATGCAAAATTTTCATATGCCTAGTACTTCTAGTGGAATATTTTAAGATTATTATCACTGAACTACAACAGCACTAGATATTAACATATACAGTAGTACACAATACTGGTCAAGTAATTAATTTATCGAATACTGTACTTTAGCAGGTGTGACAGGCAATAATTTAACCATTACCTCTTTACTATATATGCCTACTATGACTATACGCTATATCGTATGCCTTACTGTGATTGATTGGAGTTGTCGTAGATACCGAAGAGCCTTTACCAATAGAATTTTGCATTAACTTACAGAATCATCTTAGTCTTAATTCTTACTGTATACTTGCATTTTATATGCAATCCATCTTGGATGATTAGTTTACAATTTCAAGGAAGTATATCACCAGATGATTTTCCAACTACTTTTTACTTTATTTTATACAGTCATAATATAAATAAGTTTTTTCTTAATTTGCTTAAGGATTGTATAAAGTAATAATCACTAATCAATGACTAGCCGTTAATTAATAATTGAATCTGTTATCATATTATTCAGTTAGGGTAATCATCTCATGTATTCCGTTTCTTAATTATTGATCCCTCTCTTTTAATTCTCCACTCGAATTCCATCATTACACACAATGATAACTTGCTTATGCATATGTAATTGTCTTCGGTGATTTCAATATCATCTTTCATTAAGATTAACTGAGCAGTACATAAAATGTTGAGACGATATAGACAGTATTACTGTAGAACTAGCCGGTTACGGTGATTTATGTAGGAGAATTTTGTTACAGTGTTCCATTCATTGAAAAGTACGTAATCAGGATTTGATTACTTTGCAATCCTTAGTTGATTACAGTGGATAAAATCAGCAAGGAAACCAGTTAATTCACCGTTTTATTAGGTCATCACTGTAATGTATTACAATGCATAACGTTGCGATGAAGCACGCCGTCAAAGAAGAATATATTGTGACAGACACAAATTTCTAATTAAGAGTAAATGGTATTCGCCGATATTGTGATATGCCAACTTTGCTTCATGAAATAAAATTAGTTCTTCGGGCAAGGGCTGTATCTGTCTTGCTTTCTGTACAAGGATAATGGAACTGCATTATTGCCGTATATCACACAACTACCGGATTGGCAGCTCAAGGATCGTTTTTACATTTGTAGAAGTAAGTTTAGGAGAACATGCTGCCGCTACGATTGCACTGCAAGCTGTAATATTTCTAAAGTATAGACTACCCCAATTTCGTCATCTATATTTGAAGTTGTATTTTGTATCTCTCTTATACGTTTGTACTATAACATATTAAGTAAACAGTCGTTAATGATGGAACGGCTTCATTTTAGTAAATAAAAGCGATCAAAGACGTTAACAAAATATCGATTTTTATACAATAAGTAGCATAAACGTTGTAGCTAGTATTGCTTCAGTATTTTCATCGTTGACAATTCCCACTTTTATGTTATTGAAGTTGACTGTGTAAATCACGTTATGCTTAACGTTAAGGTATTCAAATATGTAACAATGTATGAAGATTTCTTGAAATGTAATAATTGAAAACAAAAGCTAAAATGTTAATCACTATTAATAAAACTATTCAAACCATATTCACTTAAAAGTACTACATTATACTTTCCATCAATGTGCATCTAAAAGCAGATTGAAAACAAACTAAAATTTAAAATTACTTGCAATAAAAATTTAAAATATCTATAATTTTGTGATTAAACTCTTGCCTTCTTCGCCCCTGTACTGATTCTATTCAAAATACTGTACATTAGTCCCTTGTAACTTCTAATTCCATTTTATTTTTACCGCCGATCAACAGCAGTTTCAGACATACTTAGTAAAATAAAATTTATTCAAAATAGCTTCACGTACTGAAACAGTGACTGTACGGTACAGTACTGTCGCAGTGATTTGAACACACGCACTTGCACTTTTTAACTTTCATGATATCGTATTAGGATTAGTATTCCATACTGTACTGTACATTGTACTGTACACTGTAGATAGGATACTGCATCCGATACTGTACAGTATACAGAGGGTGTCTCACAAGTCTTTCCCACTGTTTGAAATCATATGAAATTATAGTTTCAAGTCCTTATTAGACAAATTTAGTATCATTTGATTGGAAATAAGATGCTTTATGCGAATATGTAATTTAAAAGCACATAAAATGTGTTCAAGTTACTAATATTAGCACTTAAAGTCAAATATTCTTATATAAACTCTGGCGCTTTTCTACAGTACATTGTACTGTAATCGACACGGTACTGTACACTGTACAGTACTTGCAGTCTAAAGTTCAATGACCCGCATGGCCCTTAGCTGGCCCGTCACGGCACGGCAGGAGTCAAGAAGTGAGTATCGCTGGTGCTGTTCACTAGAGGGTCTCTATTGCTCACTGATGGTTCACTGTTCAGGTGTACGGTACTGTACCATTTTGTTGTGGTACTCACGCATGGGTAGAAGTGAGTCATACAGTATCCGAGAGATGGCACAGCGTAGTCAGTAGTGACTTAGTAGTGCAGTACCCGCGCGTTGACAAGATGCGAAACAAGCATCATGAACATGTGCTATATTTGGATAGCAAATTGGCAATGACGAAGATGAGCCTATCAAGTTCATCCTCGACCATGTCCATTGTACAAGACGCTTGTACTGTATATTACAGTACTGTGCACTGTAGACCATCGCTTTGCCGCATAGGCGCGGTAATAGTATACCGTATAAAATCCACTACTATGGGTGGAGGCAAGGTGACCTACGGTACACTGAGTACAGTAGTGTCCATTGAACACAGTCTAGGACTGACACCGTCAGTGACACGTCAAGTCACTGGCCAACATTGTCGTTCAACCTCTCCTCGTCTAGCCTCTGATGTCCGCACGTTTTTTAGGCTTTGCAGGTTAGTCAGTTCGCCATTCAATTAGACCAAGCAATATAATACTTCTCTCTTGACTAAAATTATCCTCTCTGTTTAGTTTATTTGTACTGAATATTGTGTCAAATTATTGGTCGACTAAGATGAATGCTTGCCTATGCATTCAATCACCAATGTGACCATTCCTTCCATACTTGCACATGCAATCTTAGCCGTGTCAAAAAATTCCTTTCATCCATTCTCTAGTAATCAAGAATGCAAACCAACATGGATCCCAACAGCATTGTGGAATTGTTATCCAAATCACTCGACCCACAAGCGCATGAGGTTGTGGAGCGTGAACTTCGTACGGTGAGTTGCTTGTCAATCAAAGAGATCGTGGGCAAAATGGCGTCAATAGCCTACAGGATAAATCAACTTCTCCAAAATGGAGAATTCCTACTAGCAACATCGCTCACTTTTCATCAATCTTGTTGATGACAGTTGAGTTGAGAAATGTTGAAATGAGTAGATCCTGCTTGACATGGAGACATTAGATGCAATGTAGTCACTAAATGTAGAATAATCGACTGCATATCCATTAGCTACAACCAGTAGCCCAACACTCGTGACAGTGCCTTGATTCAAACATCGATCCATCGACCTTGATGTTCTTCAAGGGTGTATCATCATCGATAGGATGTTAAGGTCTAATAAAATATCTTTCATTAGTAGCCAATCAAACTCTATCGTGAATGGAAAATTTCATCAAGAGCATTTCAATATTACTGTATAAAGTATCATTCAAACTAAATTTAGGCGGTATATCCAGTATGGTAGAGGGACTGGTCCGTGAATCCAAATGGATTCTTTGCTGGCGCTAACACTGCATTTTTTTGCCTTCATTCCATACTAGAGTAGTCTTGAATGGAAACTAAAATTTGTGCTATAGTTATATCACATCATGGCTATCTTGCATGTGCGTCCTGTAGATACTGGCTCAAGTTGCTATCCAAAGACTAGTATCCGTCATCACGTCATTAGAATGGAGCTATCGCATCGGCCGCAATCAACAAATGGTACTCGGTAAATAGCAAGCGACTGTGCTTAGCAGTAATTCTCCTCTCCATCATACAATGGTAGAGGGCATACTCTTACAATTCTTGACCATCAAAGATGAATTCGTGATAGATAATTAATTAACGGTAGATTGTCCATGAAGAGAAAGAAATGTTTAACATTGGTTTCACATTTTTCGTTCCTATCTGCCAAGAACAACAACATTCAGAAATCCCAATATGGCCCAAGACTACAACTCGGAGGTGTTAGTGATGTACACGCTTTTACTGACAGTACATTGTGTAATTGTTCCGCATTGGACTGTACTTTCAATTCTAGTAATGTTAAAAGATAGATTGTTATTATAGAGACACTATTATTTTAGAGGAGGACTATTTTTCATCCTATATTTGTTAAAGCGAGATTGAGCATTGTGAAACAGTGATACATCAGCTCAAAACTGTATCGTCAATTGAATCCGTATTAAAATAACGAAGTAGAATTGGCTTGTGATTATCAAATTGCCACTGCTGAAAAAAAGAATGGCAGTACTGAATGATCTACTGTGCTCAGGCTTTACGTCTAGTATATTCTTATGTTAATCACAATATCTTGGTATTTGAACCATATTGAAGAAAATCAACCTGAGATTCCATGATCGATTTTAGGACTACTAAATTGGCCCTATTTTTCGACCAGTCCCTTCTAAAATAGGCACAGTAGTTAGTTCTAGGATCGATGATATTATCACTTCGGACACCAGTCACTTGTTGATAGAACTATATACTATATAGTTTGTACAGTACCATGGACTGCGCTATTGAATACTCATTTATTTATTTTTAAAGTAATACCCTCCTTCCGCAAAACGTTACGATTGGATACAAGATTTTTAGGTATACTGGTAATATTAACAGGGGATTGAAGAGATAAACTGTCTATCAATAGGCAAGATATTCTTCAACTTTGTTGTGTTTACAGCGGTGGGGGTAATGGATGATATCGATATCGGATAGCCATACGACAGGAAAGATAATTTTGTAATACTTTTACTAATGGAGGGAATGAGTGAATGCCATTGGATAAATGCGTATTTGGAGGAAATGGCAACATTTTAATGCTCTGATCTACAACAATTATATTAATGTTAGTTAAAAGTATTTCACCGACATGGAAAGGTTAAATTTATAGTTGGGAGTTATTATTTCCTGCATTAGGTGTATTGTATTAATATTGGTCAGTCCGATACTGAAAATAAATCTATCAATATTTGAAATTTACTATGTAGTTACTATATATAATTGGATCATATTTTCCCATTCATACTGTAATTAAGTATAATGATGCTGCGCGATTTTGGTGTTTTGTCTTAACAGAACTTAAACCGACTGTGTGTATTGCTTATCCCATTCAATTATAAACATGCTATTCAGCTACCAATAGCCAATTGATAGTCCGTTTATATTCGTTTCGTCGTATGCTGTGTATGCAAGCAATTAAACTGAATATTGAGTATACAACAATAGTTAATAAGATGTCGCACCTAATTTGTTATTATAGTTAGAACAGAGTCCTGGCTACCCGATATGTTTAATTCAGATCACTTGCCATCCGGAGATTCAGATGCCGATCAAGCAAGCAGGTATTATGCAATGTTATCATTACAATAGACGCGCTATAGATGTAAAAAGCATAGACTACTAGAAATTACTTCTAGTAATTTTTGAACTTGTAAATAACTTTCAATGGCTAAGCAATTCAAAATTTGATTGGCGTGATTTAAATTACTACTAAAGGAATACTTACAAAATTGTATCCCTACTATCACAGCAATTATTTATCTAAAAAATATGGTAATGCGTTCATGGGAATTACGCAAAGACCTCGAAGATAAATTTGTTATAAACGATCAGGATAAAGAAAGTATTCGTAATAACATTGTAGAAGTTATCATCTCGGCACCTGATCTGCTTAGGTTAGATTTGAAATGTCTTTATTTTTGATATATTTTGATTGTATATAGATAGTCATTATTATCCTAGCGATAGAATTTAATATTCTAGGATCTGCACATGCTAGTTGATCTTTTAACTTTAATACGAATTTGTGGACTATAATTCATAGTTCTAATGTTATCGTTGTCTGATACATGTGTATGTTAAAAAGTGTGTTGTTTATCTTTTGCAGAGTTCAATTGAATGAAATTTTGTTTACTATATTTAAATGGGACTATCCTGAACGATGGCCTGGTATTGCTGAGAAGCTAGTAGCTTACTTTTCATCTAATGAACAAAACATGTGGTTAGGATGCTTACACTGTGTGCACCAGTTGGTTAAAAAGTATGCATACAAGAAACCTGAAGAACGTGGAGCTTTAAATATTGCTCTTGTTCGCTTATTACCTTTAATGCGGGATCGATGCTTGCTCCTGATGAACGACGAATCGTTACCTTCTGTTACTCTACAAACCATGGTATTGAAAATATTCTATAGGATTATCGAGGTACGTTATCGATTTTGTTCTATTCTACGAACGCTGCTTAATTTTTTAACATTTCGAACTCTATATCCAATCTTTTTCTCTATTTTGTAGACTTGGTTACCATTACAATTAATTACGGAAAGAAATTTTCCTGCTTGGATGGAAGTTTTTCAGATCGTGCTAAATCGTGATGTTCCTCAAGTAAGATGCGCAATACGCTCAACTTTATGTCTAGCTATAACTATTGTCCCTTACATAATAAGTAAATATTCAAATGCAGGATAAACTATAATGGTTGATTTATTTATAATTATAAATATAAGGCGACTTTAGAGCTTGATGAATATGATAGAGCTAATTCTATCTGGTGGAAGTGTAAAAAGTGGTGCATGAAAATTGTAGTTCGCATATATGAAAGGTAATTGAAGTTTGTATGTATTATTCTATATTGCCGATTTTTATTAGGGCTTTTAATTTATCATAGGTATGGACAAGCAAGTTTAGTTCAAGATGACGAATATTCGGAATTTGCTAAATTTTACTCAAATAATTTCGCAGGTGATCTAATAACGCTTACTGACTGATTGATACATTGAATTTGATTAGAGTAAATATATATGTATTTTTGTATTACTAACTTGATCGATAATTTACTGTCTTCAGTACCTGTTGTTAAGATCGTATTGATTTGGTTGGATAAGTGTAGACACAATGCATACGTCTCGAAGCCTGTTCTGCAACAGTTGTTGATGTACTTAAATTACAGGTACTATCAGTAGCCAAAAATTTCCTTTTTATCATGTTGTAATTAATACTTGTGGATTATTACTCTTCTTGAATAGCGTATCACATGCAAAGGCCTGGAAAGTTGTAAAACCTCATTTCCAGGTATTGTTTCGATATTGGTTATAGTTTTGTCATCAAATTCAACTATAATTATGCTTCAGTGATTTAACGAAGTTTAAATCATCTTAGGATATCATAAGGGATATAGCACTTCCCATCTTAAGCCACAGTGCGGACGATGACGGATTATGGGTAGAAGATCCTCAAGAATACATCCGGAGTAAATACGGTAATTGAGTGTCCTATGAGAATAAGCTATCCTGTTATTAACAATTACTTCAAAATTACTGAATGAGGCCATAGAAATAACCGATATCTTATGTTATTATGTCTTAATATAGATGTTTTTGAGGACAATTTCTCTATCGCAAATACGGTAGCATCCATGCTAACAGCGGCATGCGGGAAACGTGGAGGTATACTAGATAGCCTAATGGCTTTCTGCTATAATATTTTGGTAACACCTGCGGACCAGCGCGATCCTAAAAAAACAGATGGTGCTCTACATATGATCGGTTGTCTTGCGGATATTTTATTGAAGGTACTTGAAAACAGTGTTACACTGTTTATGTTTGCTTATCGTTTCGTAATCCTAAGATTTTTAAATTTTGACTTTTTATATTAGAAACCTAATTATAAAGCACAACTGGAAGATATGATTGTTCTACACGTTCTTCCGGAAATTCAAAGTGGATTCGGTTATCTAAGAGCTCGGGTACTACATTACTGATATTAAGCTGTATATGTAAGCTAGTACTCACTTGGAGTATTTTCAATCTACTATATCATTAGGCGTGTTGGCTCTTGAAAGAAGTCAGTGAATTAAAATTTCGAAACAGGAATAATCTTTCTTGTGAAATAGAATTAATACTAAAATGTATTACCGCCGACCCTGACTTACCTGTTAAAGTTGAAGCCGCTGTAACACTACAGCATTTAATACGATTTCAAGGAAATGCAAGTAAGGCGTCTAGTCTAGGCTATGTTGCAGTATTGGTATATATTTTCTCTTAAAAATAGTAACCACTAAGTTTTAATTCTTATCGCTTATAACTGGATTATTTTCTGTTTCAGTATCACCATTTTTGGAACCACATATTAAGCTTATAATTATCGGTAAGTTCCAGTAAGGCGTCAAATTCTTGATGTAATTGTAGATTAATTCTCTTTGATTTATTTAATGCCTTCTTTTACCACTAGAACTTGTAAAAATTTTACGAGAGACAGAAATAGAAGAACTGTCTGGTGTCATCGAAAGTGTTATCAGTACTTTTAGTTCCCATGTTATTGTCGTGGCTGTGGAAATTACCGAAAGTTTGGTTTGTATTTATAGTTTTCTATGAGGATTTGTTACGAGGCTTATTAACGTTGCAGTTGCTGTATCAAGTAGAAGTTTAATGTTGTAACTGACTTTACTTAAATACGACTTTCATCTATAATAATATATAAGTGAGTTGTTACCGATAGATCTGCAATATAGTATACGCGATCAATTCGTTTCATAAAACATTTCGCAGATTTTATTTTCTTTTTGCTTCAATCCGTGATGATTTTCTGTCGATAATAAATATACAACCGATGTAAAATCGTTCTTCACTGAATTACCATTCAAGTTTTTTACTGGTATTTAAAATGGTAACTACTTCATGTCACAACAGGTTGGCACACTGATGCACCTTGTTGAATCGGAAGATATAGAAAATAGCAGCAGAGCCCTTATGGCAATGAGTGTTATCACTACCATAGAAACAATTGCAGAAGTTATGGAAGAACACGTTGAAGTGAGTGTTGCTTAGTGTTCGATCAGTACAGCTTTTTATAGTAGATACTGATAGTATAAAGGTAGATACATTGTAAAGCTTTCTGTCACTAATGTGTCTCGAATTTGAACTCAATTTTATTTAAAGATTATGAGTCAGATTGAAAAGATCATTATGAGAGTGGTTGTTTATTTTTTGGAAAACTCTTTATTTGGTAAATGCTACAGAATTGAATGCCATTTTTTGCGAGTATATTTTAATGTCTTTAGCAGCCTGAATTTTAATTCACTATTCTTATGCATTTATATTAGAATTATATGAGGAAGTTCTTTCCTTGGTATTTTCATGTACTCATAAAAGAATTTCACCAGACATGTGGAATGTATACTTCGTAATTTACGAAGCTTTTAAACGAGACGCTTTCGATTATTTTACAGGTACGTAATCTACGTGCTGACTTTAGTACTTTACTGTAACAAATAATGTTATATTCCGTGTTGGCTTAGATAATACTTTGTATACCACACAGATATTGTTCCGTGTCTCCATAATTTCATCACAGTTGATACTGAAGCCTTTTTATCTGAACAAAGACGTTTGGAAGTACTATTTGATATATGTAAAACGGTTCGTTTACTTGTAGCATAACATGATAATACGTAAACAATAGCACAATCTAAGATTACTTTTATTATCATTACTCTAATTTGATTGACCATACAACAGGTCTTAGAGATAGATCAATCATATGAGGAGATGTACACCTACGCTGCCAAACTTTTGGAGTTGACTATTTTGCAATGTCCTGGTCGCATCGATAATTACTTCCCACATTTTATACAAATTTGTTTAGAAAGGCTTAATAAACAGTTAAAACTAACCGAGAGTAGGACCATGTGCTTGCAAGTGGTAAGTAATCATATTGAATTGTATTCTAATCAAATTTATGCTTATTCGTTTAACCACAAAAATTTTGTAGGTCGTCGCTTGCTTGTATAGGAATGTAGATTTAACGTTACACATCCTGGAGACACTTAAATTGTCGTCAGCGAATCCACCACTAACTCAGGGATTCATGAAGCAGTGGATTTATGATATGGACTCTTTCTTAGGGTTACTTTTTTATTATTAACAGTCAATTCTATCTATGTAAAATGAGTTAGATTTTATTTATTTCGTTTTCATAACAGTTTACATGACCGAAAAGTATGTGTTTTGGGTCTAACAACAATCTTGAGTTTACCAAAAGAAAAACGACCGGCTGCGATAACATTCTTTAACTCGCAGTACATGCGATCTTTAATAATGCTTTTCCAAGGACTTGAAAGAGCGTATGCAAGTACGGATTTTTTACGTTATATTCTAAAATATTATTTTAAGTTTAACGGTAACAATGTCTAGAAAGTAACCGAAGTAAAACCCTTGAATCACTACTAATTGTGATACAATGACTAGGTCGTGCAGCTGATGATAGCGATAGCGAAGAAGAGAGCGTAGAGGACAGCGATCAGGGTATACTCGTATAGCGATAAACTTTATTTAAGACAGAGCGGTAGCAATTGGCTAATTAGTAATTTTAGTTAACGTTTTACCGTAATTTATATAGTTCTCCTTCATTCGTTTCTTGCTCTAGAGGAGTTAGCGAGCGATGAAGACGAATATGACGAAAAAACGATATCTAACTTAGCCAAAAAGGTAAATATGTTTCAATACTGTTACCACGTAGAATATGGTAAATAATAATTATATTGACTTGTGGGTTCATGCACGACACATTATGGTAGGGTGCTGCTGCCTTGGGTAGTTATGATGATATTAATGAAGCAACAGAAGAAACACAGTTAGAAGCGTATACGACCATAATTGATGATGAAGACAGTGTCGATGAATATTGGGCATTTAAGGACTTATTAGCCAGTACGTTGTTGTAAATTGTTGATGTATGGTTAGATTATGATAAATAAGCTATAATATTGCTTTATAGATATTTCCACGGTGGAACCGGAATGGTACGAATCACTGATGCGTCCTTTGGATCCAACTCAACAAAAGTATTTTGAAAGTATCCTAGTTTTGGCTGAGCAGAGAAGAGCCGCCCAAGGTACACAAGTATATTCTGTATCATACATATATCGTATATGCAGTGGCTTACAACGTTTACATAGTGATTCTATTGTGTATGATATTGTAGCGCTTTTATTGATTTACTGGATGCTTTACTCTGTAGTTTCGAGGCGTATAAAAGAACAAGGTGGCTATAGCTTTGGGGCTCCATCGATTCCTACGGAATTCAGATTTGGTTAACTTTTCCCTTTTAAGTTTTCATCCGGCATGTGTACTAAACTGATTAAAGTGATAGTCAGATGTTTGTAGTGTACATTTGAAAAATTATAATTAAATTGATATGTCTTCGGTTGTTATGATTCTCTACTAATATCGCTGTGTTTTATATCATGTAACGTATTTAACGTACTAATATGAATATGAGTTCAAAGATATGAACTCCCTGTTAACTTTATTCATTTCTAATGTAATGGATATATGCAGCATTCACTGATCTATGCACGCCATTAGGAAAGAAATTTAAACGTATGTTAAGAATGTATAAGATTATAATAGCGGTTTTGGTAGTGTATATTTACCTTATGACTTCAAAATTTGAAGAGTATCACAGCTTTTATTCTTTACGTAAAGTAGAAATTGAAAGTAGCCAATGCTACTTTCACATAGAATTTACGGAATTGGCTACGGTCGTTATGTAGTACAGTATCTATAAATGGGCTTGGAAGATAATTCTTGAACTTGTTACAAAATTAAAAATTCAATTGGTCTACTTTACAAAATGTAGAAGGCAATAATTGGAGAATTCTCATTTTACGTGAAATAATTATTTTCACTAAAATTAACCTTTGTTACTATGTAATATTTTGTAATAGATGCAGGCAATTTTATGCTCTAAATGTGTTGGTAGTGACTAGAAAAGAATAGATTAAAATCCGCATTGAATAAAGTTGATACACTATAAGATAATCTAGTAGATTATATCTAAAGTTATTTACTTCTGTTATTGCAGGCAGCACTTTCTTATCTATTCATCCACCACTTAGAAAATGCCCTTGTTACCAATAAGCAGACTTTTTAGCAAAACGAAATATCTATGATTATGTTAATTATTTCTTTCTTAGCGAGTTCGATCTGTAGCAATCTCGAATAAATAGAATGTCGTATAGTATCGTGAGACACTAATGTCGATGTTCCACAATATTAGCAAGCATTTGTTCGTGCAATAACGAATGATAGTGATTTAGATTAGAAAGATGTTTTAGTATTTTATTTCTCAGGGTTAAAAATCATATATCCTTAACGACGCACCTTCTAGTCACTTTATATAGAAGACTAAAACGTGATATTGCCTTCATGTAGTTGTATATCAGGAATGCTTGGCTGCTTCTCTTAGGAGGTTGATGTATTTGACGGGCACTCTTGGATTTTCTCTCAACTTTAAGACGAAAATGACACCTACACATTTACCTTGTACTACGATATCGATGTGGGTACTAGCTATCATTTATCAAATTTAGATAGGTATATTTGTTGACTCGAAAAGTAATTAATATCCACTTAATATCAACCATTCAAATTAATACTGTACAATTATTACACTGAAAGATATTGCATAGCGGGGCGTCAAGGCAGTTAGAGAAGCGTTTATAGCATATAGCAGTCATCACATCATACATGCAGTTCTTAAGCTACCTTTTATCATGCGTACAATGTATCATGCGATATACTGAACATTTTAAATTAGACTATACGGAAATTGTGACCGTGATAAAAATTGCAATTTGAAAATAATGAGAATTTTTTCCAAATTTGCTACATAGGATAAAGAATGAAACGATTGTTTATACGTACAAGGTCTAAGAACTAATATTCATTCTAATTAACTCAATAAAAAGCTGGCATTTATTACAAATACCAGTAACGAAGTATTCTCTAGCTGTGATATAAACTTTACTAAATGGCATCTTAATGTGTTATTGCATATTGTATCACTCTACAGTTAGCACAATTCATTTCTTGGACATAGCAAAGTAAAAGCGAAATTAATACGTTTTGATAATGCTCATCGAGAATCGTAAGGATAGAGTTTATTTATGTTGATAGTCTGTTAAATCAATGCTATAGTCATTAACACACAGATTTGAATTACGTAACATCTGTTATATGACAATTTGTGCTACTCTTAACTAAGAAGTAGTGCAGGGCACGATATGAATAAGTTATTTATATTTCAAACTATGTAAATTGTAAAGAATCACATTATACCTCGGCTAATTCAAGGAATTAGATAACGTTAATATTAAGTACAGAGTGAACTACCAATCTCAGACATTGAGCAATATTCATAGATACAGCTTATGGGAAGTATGACACATATCACAATCATAAACTGAACACGCGTATCCAGAGTAGTTTTACGACGATAGTTGTGCAACATTATCCATCTGTAATTATATAGGAACGGGAATTGTTAGCATCTAATAAAAATATAAGATTATGTGATCAATGAAGTGTTTATACAAGTAGAGTAGCTCAGAAAATGTACAGTACAGAGGCTTCTACTGTTGCCATGATTATACAACACGCTTTATACCCATGTTTTCAAAATTGGAGTTTAACTGGCGATCACATTTACTTGCCATAAGCAGCCAATGTTAATTTCTGCATGGTAACATGCTTTTACAAAGGCTCAGTTATTAGTAACGCAACACAAAAATTAGGATATTGGAATATCAATACGTTTACAGGTCGACGCTCTCATCGACGAAAGACCATCTGTATATTAGTACCACTGTAATAATACGCGTCTCATGAACAGTAAAACTTAGCATAAACAGTGGTAAGTTATATTAGAATATCAATACATATACGGGTCAACGTCTCATGGACAAAAAGTCATCTGCCATGTAGTACCATGGAAATAATATGCGTTTCAATAACAGCGAAACTTGGAGTTCAATATAGGCGGTAGTAAGTAATTATACCTTCAAAACTTAAAGAGCGATAAAAAAGTAAATTTCGACAGTAGACCTTTACTTTCAGCCAGCTACAACGTCACAGTTGCAATTACAAAACAACTGCTACATAGAGATAAAATGCTTTTAAGGCTATTAAGAAGAAGGATTTTTCTTTTTCCTTAAAGCTCGAATTAGGCGCATCAAACCTTTTTTATCTTGAGGCCACCTAAAATATTTAAACATTCTACATATCTTGGGTATATATTCAGGCAAACCGTTGTCCATTAACATAAAAATAAATTTCTTATTACGCATACCATGAGCGTAAATATCATTCGTCATAATAGTGTCGGCTAGTCGTAAAGCCCTAATGTGGGTTAGATTGTACTCAAACGGTGAAGACTCGGGAGCATCTGCCATGGGGACTTCCTCACCATCAAAGTCTCTATCACTCAAATAATTTTTATCAAAAACGAAGAATACCAAGTCCGCTTCTTCCATCTTGGATGCAATGAAAGCACAACAGTTTTCGGTATGAAATTCATCGGCCTTGTAAGGATCCATACAGCTCATACCGAATTCTTGACAAAGAGTCTTTGCAAGACTAGCTACATTTTCTTGATGTGTTTCACTGCGGTGGGAATAAATCATTAACGACCGCGTTCCAGGTGGACGTCGAACTGATGGTAACATAGGGACTGTCGATAGTAAAATAATAATTTATAAGTTTACTGTGTTATCATCGCCATTACATTAATATTAGCACTACTACTACGCAATTTTTTTCAGATTTCATTGAAGAAAACAAATTCTAACTCTATTTTTTAAGGTGAATTTCAGCGTATAGTAGTTTATACTTTGCCGGGTGTTTAGTATGCATATCAGAAACAGAATCAGCATTTTGTAGCAATAAATTGGTAGTATTACACTGTCAATTAGTGCGGTACATTGATGATACACAATTATTCATTATTCTAAGAATCCAATTTTACCTTGGACTGTTGGATACTGTACATTTTCCGTCTCGGACTGTTCGTAAAGAGGTTGTAATGGAAGGTGGCCATGGTAATGATGATTGCTAATATCTCGACTGGTGATAGGATTGCGTGCTGGTGCAGGTAAAGCGTACTCGCCGTTATGATCATTTCTAAGTTCTGTTCTGATATAAGAATGTCTGATATTTCCTTGATCAATGTAGAGTCCGTCTAGAGTTCGATCAAAAAGTAAAGCAATTATTATTACCTTCGCATCAACAGCCAGTCAGTATTAATATGCCAAGAGACATTCAACTTAACGCCTATTTGCTAATTTGGATTTATACTGCAATTCAGGTAAGAGATTTGAAATAATTTTAGTTTTAAATACACAAGTACAATCTCAAGGACTATTGGAATAGTGGCTGCATTATTGCTGTACTGGTGCGTTCAAGCCGTTTTACATTTATCCCCCCCCCCCTCCCCGATATCACAAAAAGAACAAAACACCGCCCTGTCCATACTGTACACTGTACAGTATAGTCGTATACAGGTACTGATGTATCTTTTGGCTAATACTACGCGTATACTGTAGGTAGAAGCGTTATAACAAAATAACTAACATTCGTACTATCCTACAATGCGCATTAAATCACTACTTTAAAGTACTTTGAACTGTTATTGAATACTTTGTGAACTTTATGATTAGGAACATTGTCATAACTGCTGTGGATCACTAACAGGGAATCTTATATAGACCACGGTGTGTTATCATCTTACTTCTCTCTATTCTATGTAGCGCTAATAAAATATTTAATAAAAGTTGAAAAATCCGATTCATTCAACTGGAGCAGATATCCAGTAGTTCATGGCTGATTTCTACGCGTGTACAAGTATACACATCGCATCCAATGAATTGAAGATTCAATCACTTGCCCGTAACAGAAGCTATCGGCGCATCCATCCATTCATGATACTGTAATCGTTCAATGACATGTTTCCAATGCCTTGGTGATTGTCAAGTAAATGACCAACCGTAGCATGATACTGGCCAAAAGCATACAGTATTGGTTATGAATAGTTACTACAGTAGTTTATTGAATCATCAACAATATCATACAATTAAAAGTGGTTGGGTGTGAGTTTGTTGATACGTTTCTACATTTCTCGATATTGAAGAATAAAGGTAAAACGTCGCCATTCGACTACTATAAGATCGACACTAGCGTTACATACCCCTTAAACCATCTCTAACGATCAAGGCTAATTCTTGACGACCCATTCTTTCCAATACAGAAATGAATTCTTGTACAGTAAAATCGGGAAAACGTGCGAAATGTTCATTGAGCATTTTCAAGGTTATCGATGGATGGCAGTTTGACAATCCATGTATATCGCTCTCACTAAATTTCAGTATGGAAGCCAGGATTTTCCAATTCTTGGTTAGGCTTGATCCATTATCGATATCCAGTTGTTTAGCAACCTCTTTCAAGATATCGAAAAATAAGTATCGCAAAGGAATTTTGGACGAATCGTAATTAGCGTGCGCAGGTTCGTTGGGTATCAAGTGCGACATGACGAGACTTGGGTTGGTCATCGTTGAATTTTTCAACCACGTCCAAACAACTACAGTGAAGACGCTTGTGAATTGGCTGCAATACAAAATTGAAACAGAAATGGAAGTTGCCTTCTAGCTACAGTTGTAGTAGTAGTAGTAGTAGTAGTATGAATGGATTACTGTCGTGTTGAGGAAGGGTTAACGGAATGAAAAATCAAGTAAAAAGACAGAGAAGTCTTTCAATGTTCATCGACACTGGCGGAATGGAAATTGTCAGGATTTTTTTCAAGGCCCAATGGCCGATTGATTTCTCCTTTCCTTACAGTACACAATGTGTCTACAGTACACTGTGAAGTACATAATACTGTACAGTACTGTACTGTACGCTACTTCCGTGTTTAGGTCCATTACAGCGCCGGTACGGTACGGTATTGACGCCAGTCAAAAAGTATGCGGAAGTTGTCGCTTCAGTCTTTCCATTCAGACAGGCAGACAAGACAGCCGAAAGAAAGAAAGAAACAGGTTACAAACAAGATCGATGTCTGCTATACTCATAGTGTACACTATAGTGACTGTACACTGTCCAGTATCACTTAGTCAGGGTAAATGAGAAAACACAGAAGATAAATAACCGTATCATACGGATGATACGGTACAGTACATTGTACAGTATTTTGTACAGTACATGTACTGTACTGTACACGACAGTACTGTAGTTAGTGAATCGACGCAGTAAATACCAAACACGCAAGACCAATACTGTAAACTGTACTGTACTGTACTGTAGTTCGTGAATCGACGCAGTAAATCACAAACTCACAAGACTAATACTGTAAACTGGATTATACGGCACTGCACTGATCATGCGCAAAGAATAAAAACATCTCCTTGAAGACCAATACTATAAACTGGATCATACTGCACTGTACTGATCATGCGCAAAAAATAAAAACATCTCCTTTCGATGGCCGATTGGTCCGATACACAGAGTTAGTACTGTACTGTACGACACAGTACTGTACAGTACAGTACATACCAAACACGCAAGACCAATACAATACTGTAAACTGTATCATACAGTACTGTACTATACTGATCATGCGCAAAGAATAAAAACGTCTCCTTGAAGACCAATACTATAAACTGGATCATACTGCACTGTACTGATCGTGCGCAAAGAATAAAAACATCTCCTTTCGATGGCCGATTGGTCCGATACACAGACTTAGTATCGTATCGCGTTTTCCTATCGAAAATACCAACCGGTCTGGGCTGTGAAATTAGACAGTAGTATTGAACAGTCCATTTTCCAAGATGGCTTCAAGAAATCAAGGATTCGCCAATTATCCTGGCAGTCGTATTGGTAGCCACTTATTAAGAGATCATCCAATGCTTATTCATTTGTTAGCGCATGATCTAGATGCATACAATGTCGCTGTTAGTGATTGGCGCTCATTAGGAAGTCGGTTAGGACTGCCATTTGATGATATTATGTCCTACGAAAATTGCAAAAGTCCAACTACTGCTATGCTAAGTGAATTATCGGTGCGATATTCTATAACTATTATTGATGTGGTGCGTGCCTGTCACGGAATTCATGCCAGCAAGGCTTTACGTACCTTATGGGACTATGAGGAAGAATTACAAGGTAAGTGCTACCTCCAATATACTACATGATGTACAGTACAACCCTTTGGCCAAAAAAAAATACTTTCTATTATGAATTATTATTATTATTTTCCAGCGTTCATTTGTCAAGTTCAGTTGAGTGAAATTTGTTGTTGATACAGAACGCGATACAATAGGACAGTATTACATGACATTGTTGATAGGTTTATTTGCCTGATTGAATCGTTGGCTATTCCTTGTTCTTTCACACTGGTTAACATAATTTTCTCAAAGATTTCAAATTTTGCCCTTCCATTTTATGAAATATCTCCGTTTACTCTACTTTTACTATTCATACGCGTATGTGTATTCATGACTCCACCATACCCTCTTCCTACCGTATCGGCGCCGTTGTCACGGACTGTATACTTTCATTGTATATACAGTAGCAATCACTTGGAGTCATTAAAACACTTACCCATGAATGACTGGAAAAGCAAGTGGAATGATCGTACTTTCATTAGCAACAGTTTCGCCAATTTACATCAAACGTTATCAATCGGGCGTAGAAATTGTACAAGCGAGACACTGCAGTATATATCACTACTGTATATACTAATGATACTCGGGGTTAATGAGGTTATAAAGGAAAAACGTCCAAGTAAAAATAGAGATAATTGCAGCTGCGACCTTCGTATTTCGCTATTTTGAATCATACGGTACAAACAGTACAATCGACGGTGTGAATGGTGTGCTATAGTATTTGAATGTTCAACAACTGAAAAGGTTTATCTTTGTACTAATAAACGATTTCATTTTGCAGAACCTGGCAAAACTATTATTATCATCGTTTATACGTATGACTGTGAATCGCCTGCACTTGGATTGAAAAACAATATTTGTCGCCAAACACATGATCGTGTAGATGTTCGACCGTTGGTATACGATAACGGTTTTGCGCTTTATGACTCTAATCGAAGAATATGGGATATGGCTCAGACAATCATATTTATTTGTAGCGAAGAAAATCTCAAGCTTTACAGGGCTCATCACCCGTTGTATTACCTTTCTAAAATGCCTGCATCAAGCAATTCCGATTTACGTATACCTATGGACAACGAAATGCACAGAAATAAAGGTCGTAATCCGCGTTTTTCTTTTGTACTTTGCAACGGAGTATGTCCGCAAGATTTTATGGAAGTTTTTGGTGTCAGGCACTATATCTTTTATTGGCAATCGGATACACTTATAAAAAACATTCATTCCATCGAAAACTATCAGGCCCCAGCAATAGGACCAATTGTGCAACCTAGACAAATACAAGATTTCTAGGACTATCGGTCTCTTATTACTATCATAATATAAATATCAATTTATTTATGTGTTAACTAGATGTAAATTTCATGTGGGGTTTCTGCTAGTGTTGAATGATTCTATAGCGGATATGTGAAAACATGGGCTTGTGTTTATCAATAAATCAATCCATGATATATCCTGGAATAACATTAGCAGAGCTCATGCTAGCAATCAGGATTGAAGACAGTAGTCTTGTAGCTACTGTATATGTCTTATTTGGTTACGCTAAAGTATCTGTGTAAAATCTTTTCATGCTGGTCAATGATGGATTGATCATTTGATCACATATTCGCACGATCGTTATCGCCATTACGTCGAGATGGATGTGTAATCTTGAAACCTATATTTACTTTTACCACTTTGAATGCAATTCTATCGCTATATCATGTAGTTGTGTTCAATGAAGGTATATAATATCTACGTATATGTATTGGTGTACTATATTGACCTATGTAATGAATCACTAGCTACGATATACTTTGCGTTATTTCTCGCACTATCGTAGCACAAATTCGATCTAGAATAAAGTTGCTGCCATGAGGTGTAGTCAAAATTTGAGGGTGTTGTAAATCTTTTTCTATGGAATCATGCTAACTATATTCAGTTTCGTATTGTTGTATATATACATGTATACAGTAATGTGTTACAAAGGATTTCGCAAATGTTATCATGTTTCTTTGAAGCTATCCATAGTCTGTCTATACACTCGTATAATTAATTAATAACTATACGCATTCACTTGACTACATTTTGAATACCACAAAGTGTTATTACTGAAGAAAGTTGAGTATTCGTAGTCTTGCATGGTCAGATTACAAGCGACCAGGGTCATGAGTGTAGACGTGAAGGCCATTCTTGGCTTAGCAATCTAAATGCAGTTTTTTTTGGGGGGGGGGGCTGTAGCTTTCTACACTCGTTGATTATTCAGCATTGGTTAACTTCAAGACGCTACAAAATATCTCAATCATATAATGATATTATCATACAGAGTACTCTGTTATACACTGTACTGTGCTGTACAAGCCGGAGTAGTTGACCTAGTGTCCAGTATGCATAAACGTATTTTATTTATTCCAGTATTTCTATTTGCTTTACCATGTTTCAACTGCATCAGAGACCAGTTGTTTCTAGTAATCCGCGATTGTATCCATCATAGGGAATTACAGTCATATTTACTACTGCACTATTAGCAAATATTGTGCTGACTGCTGTAGTATCGTTGTAGTGCTTGGGTTTTACAACCCCTTCGGTTCGCAATCGTCTTACTCAAAATCCTTTCATCATCAACAATCATGAAATTACCTTATAAGTATAGCATAGTAGACTATTCTATTTCTTAATATGTGATGGAGGGTTCGAAGAATCAGCGTCTGCGGACTTCATAACCATTCACAGAAAATATGCAAGGGATTTTAATAAAGTTGATTACTTTATTGTAGATAGTAATGGAGGTACGATGCGGTAGTTACGGTAGATCAGCGTTGAAGCTGTCGTGAAGTAACGTGAGAAAGTACTCCTACTACGAGTAGTGCAACTGAACAACTCTGAGGCAGAAATCATCAGTATTTATAGCATTAGAGAGAGAAAACATGCAGAGAACAGTATTGTAGAATTAGACTCATCATAGATCATAAACAGGCTATATAATAGTCAATAATTGTAGGAAATAGCAAAGACTGTAGGTGCTATAAATAACTGAACATGACAAGTTATATTTGAGCATCGTTGAAATAGACTGTAGAGGTATTATATTGGGAGCATAACAAAATGTCTACTGTATATTTACGAACATGTCTAAAAACTACAGTGAAACTAAATACACTACATAATGCTACCATACGTCAATTACTACTGTTATTAGCCGAAACTACTATAATCGTTTATTAAATTGACTACTGTCCTAAACTATCAACGACTAGAAATGAGAAGTAATTTCTAGTAATATTTGTAGTAATCCATAGGCGAACTGTACGGTGTCCAACTTGTGTAAAACATATGTCGTGAATTGAGTGGTCATTGGCTTTATAATGTAGACATTTTACTGCAGATTACCAGACATTAGCCATTGGAGAAATCCGTCCCTTTTCCATCCCTTCGATTTTTATACTGTACCCTACCAATAACTATGACAGTCACTGCCAAGTCATACTGTACTGTACGACCTGTGTTATTACGGTACTGTAACGTTCAGTACAGTGCTACAGTACAGCCTTACACTGTACTGTACACTGTACAGTGTACAGTACTGTACAATATTGAAAGTCCCTCTTTCCGTACCGTACCAAACCCAACGTTGAAGGCGTTGCCGATAACGTCCTGTTTGAGGTTGGTTAACAGTGCGTACTTTCCGGCTTAGAGCCTTGTCAAAAGTTCAAGTTAATGGTGGAAAATGTTGTCGTTCAAAAATAAAAATACCAAGGATTCATTATTGAAAGCTGCTCGCGAAAATGATGTCAAACGCTTTATCGAATTATTGGATAAGCGATCTTTGAGGTAAATTCCATCAATGATCTTCATCATTGTCCATTTCAAAACATCATGGATATTGTTGTATGGTACTTGTATTACTATTTTGTCATTGAATGTGTCGCAGTTTTATGCCGCAGATACGACATCGCCTTTCCATTCAAATGACTTTTCAATTTATACATAGGAATCAATCGTGATATTATTTGCTTTGAATAGATGATATTAGATTGGCAGAAAAGACATTGATTAACACTATAAATGGATTAATTAGTCGTGCGGTCGATCAATGGATAGCAAAAATGATTCAAATGTTAATTTGATCTCAGGCTAGTGGTGACCAATCCCTACTGTACAGTAGAAGGACTAAATTACTGGGGTTGGTCAATACTGCCATGATGATAATCTTTTCTAATTTCTACTTACTCTATTTTACAGTACATTACTATCAGTATAGGCATAGCATATAATAGAAAATAGTTCAACTTTCTCCATTACTTTCAATCGCATGAATTACTTGTTTTCGTTGAAAGACTGTATTGGACTACTGCTTATATCACATACGCTACATTGATTATCGGCTTAACCTTCATAACGACAGCAACATAACGTATATATATATATATACATATATGTACTGTAAGTGATGGAAGGGAACTACAGGACACTGAACAACATAGTACTCTGCAATGCTTGGAAATAGCCCAATAAACAAGATGATCCTTTCTTCAGAAATTTCAATTCTACTTATTTCATATCTTTACCCTAATAAAATTCATCAATTTGCCTGCGGGGGTTGTGACGTGAACGTAGACTGTAAAGTATCAATCTAAACAGCACAATTGATTGAAGAACGAATGGATTTTACATTTTTTTTTATTTTATATTCATCATTGGATGGTCGGGTTAGCTGCATGCCTGTAGTTATCTATTTTATTGCAGTTATTTTCTTGACTAAATTTGACCAAGTTTACTCTTTCTCTATCAACAATCAATATAGAGTAGCATGCATTACAAAGCAATAAATCATCATCTTATGACACTTGTTTTACGTCGTACGTTGAGCACAGCAGTGTTTTACTTCCGGCTTTACGAATGGATCAGTTAGATATCGATAGAATACGGTATATCGTATGTATAAGTTAATTGTTGACTTCCCTTTAATCATAGCATCATAACTTTTCTGTTACAGTAAGGAAGAGCTACAAAAGTACTGGGGAATCAATGGCAATACACCTTTACATCAAGCTGTTATTGAAAATAATTGGTAAGACAATTTTCTTGGAATAGAAAAAGTTTTACTTTCAAATGTTACGTAACATTGTGTTAAGTTATCGCTGGTGAAATTTTCATGCGCATTAACATGAACTTACGAGTTTCTCTAAATGTTGTGATACTCGTATTACTTGCAGTCAGTAATTAAGAGTATACCGAAATTGAATATTATTATAAAATGAGAATATCATGAAATTAAAGTCCTGAACTCTGGCTCCAGAAAGTACGGTATAATGAGTACTTTACGCGGCGACACTGTGTATATGTCGAGCGAAATGGAAACCATAGATCAACCAGTACTGTACACAGTTGTAGATGATACCGAATTGTACTCCAGAGCTATAATCTACTAAAAATATATAAATCGTTTACGATAATATCATCGAATAAATTCAGCTTTCGGCTATTAATGATGAAGCATACTGCCGTTAATCTGCAACGATCCTTCCATTAAAAATCTTAGAGATTTTGTGTCTTACGCATTCAAATACGAATTATAATATAATAATCAGATAAAACTCCCACGCTGCATTAATATACTATGCATGTATGTACAATACTGTACATTAATGTCCGATGCGCTAAAGGATTAAACAGTAAAGTGTTCTAATTTCAATATTCTAATAATTCGTCGATCTTAAATTACTTCCAGTAAGCACTGAAATAGTTGTTGGGTAAAAACTCCTTGTAGATCAAACAACAGCAATAAACCTGCAATTATATTACTTATTAGTTAATTACTGTACATTTCGTACTTTGTTTATTTAACGGTTACTGTATCTAAAAACGATACAGTAGTACACATACTGCTACTAGTACGACTATCTTTAAAAGTTAATTAGTATCTTGCTAGATAGCACATCTTAGAAACTCGATCAATCTTCAATACAGTTTAACCTACAATATAGATATATTTATTCTTAACAGTGTAGCTGTTGAAATATTGCTCGCTAAACATTTTGAAGTAACGAAAGAAAACTCACAAGGTAAATGCAACTAGTAACTAATACACTATGATACAAACTTTCATTGATAGCTATAGTAAATATATAATTGACTAGTTTGTGCGTGCATAAATTGTCCTTGTAAAGCTTCATTCAATAAAATATTTAAATTACAAATAACATTGTTGGTTACTCTATTCATTAATGAATGATAAATGTTTGATAACAGTCATTGACTAAAGTAAGTGATGCCCGTAGTGGAAGCTACTCTGTTGCGGTGTTGTGCCCCGT